ATACTTTTCTGAGTGACCGGTTATAGAAGTAAAAATCATTTACAAGGTTGAAATTTTCTTTTGTTAATTCAATTTCTTTTAGAATTACACACGAATTTCTTTGTTTTTAACGATATTTCAACTGATAATAATGAAAAATTTAGGTAACTTCCGTTCATCCTCTTGCCTAAAGCTGTTTAACAAAATGGTTAGACAGGTTTGATGCAGGTAATGCTTAGTATTTAGGACGATTCGAAAAATAAAACACGTAAATAATTAATTTTTCGATTGTGTAAAGTGTATTTTACACTTAAAATTTGTATATTAATTAATTAATTAATTTGGAAAGTTATAAGAAGAGTTTGAAGTGTATCAACTCTAACTCGTTAGTAAAAGTGACGATTTTGTATTTTATATTTTATAATGCAGATATTATCATTTATAAAGGTTAGAATTTATACTTTATTGTAAAGTTTTTCTATTCAGCTGATAACCTGGAGCATATTTTTATTACTTTCTCTTTTGTGTGACGGAAGCTTGCTTATAGAAAGAATGAAATATAATTTGGTCACGGCATTTAGGACAGGAAAATATTAAATTGCTTTACCTTTGTATTTTTTATACCCATTTTTTTTTTATCTTACAAATTTCAAAATAGAATGTCCGGAAACGTTAAAAACTATTTTTGAAATGAAAGGTTCACACGCGGTTTACACTTGAAAGGTTCGAAAGTTACACCCTTAATCTATATACGAACCTTAATTAATATTAAGGAAATATTTATGTAAGTGTAAAGTATCCTTTAAACTGTTAGAGAATTTAATAAAAGGGTAAAAAGTTTCAAAATTAATTTAATTCTTTTTAATCATGCCAGACAACCTTAAGTAGGATCGTATTAACTAGGATAGAGGCAATTTCTCCTTGAAATGCTTCATTTTTCTGGTCATGATATACAATAACGAATTCACGGATACATAAAACGTGATCTTTAGCGAAGACAAAGCAAAAAGAAAAAAATAAAATAGAAAAAAATAAGCGCTCGACCTGATTACGAAAAGGGGATTTCTACTCGAATTTATAACTTAAACAATGTCTAGGCGTTTACACTTTACAAAATTATAACAATTTACAGCTTGAATATGCCCTACAACGATCAAAATTTGCGATTGATGATTAAGATGTCTGCTCTTTGATAATGGATTTTTTAAGGTTTCTGGGAAAGTAGATCAATGTGTTTCGGGAATTTGACACAAATATCGATAAAAGTTTTAACATATTTAAACGTAGAATTCCAATAGAAAATCAAAAGTTGGAAGAGTGAAAGTTTATTATCTGATGTCTACTTCGTTTAAATTTTATGGGGTTAATGGAAATTTTCAAGAACATTAACCAAAAACATGGATTTATTTAGTTGATAATTAACAGAACCAGCTTTCAGTTGGCCAGAAGGAAAACGTTTTCATGATGATAAATACCTCCTCGTGAAGATCTAAAAACAGTTTCTCATTAAATGTTATATACTAAACATCCTTGGAATTACTGGTTTTGCTGCTTCTTATTACGATCGCAAGCAAATTAAAGAATAGAGAAGAGAGAAAAAATATATTAATCACGGATAGAAATGAGGATAAGAAGATGATAATTAACATATTTCGTCATATTTCCATTTAAAAAAAAATCACTTACATTTTTATAGATAAGATATAAATTAATTGAAAATTAATTCAATTATAAGGAAATTTGGCGGTAAAAAAATATACAAGACTTATTTTTAAAGAGGTAAATGCCTCCATTTTGTGTGTGTTTTTTTTTTAGGTTGATCGAAGCAAAAATTGGCAGATAAATTGTAATTTTTCTTAACTATAATCACATCCATGAGTGATAAATGAGCCCGTTCGTAATATTCACATATATTAAGATAATCTGATTTTATTTCTCTCATAAATCACAATTAACTTCATATTTTTAAACATTTAAATCTTCATAAAGGAAAATATACTTTAAAATTCTTTTTCTTTTTTCTTTTAAAGAAATAAAGTAACTTCCTTTTACATAAAACTGAGGCCACCCAGCATTTAAATAATTATAGAGGAAAAATTTAAACTGGGTGAGTCCCAAATATGTTTTATTTTAAATAGTACTTTTAGAAATAAATTTATTTCCTTTAATTTATTACATGATCATCATTGTTTTATGCCTTCTTAATCGATCCAAATTCTTTTTTTTTTTTTCTTTTTAACCCCATAAACTTTGAAATTTGTTTTGTTCAAGGTGAGAAAATCGAGGAAGTTCTAATGGTTGAGTTTATAAAAATATCACATTTATCAGATTTTAAAAAAGGGCTGGTGCATTCACCTGGTTATGTGTCTCACCTGTTTCTTACCAAGAAACAGGTGAGACACTTAACTAGGTGTGTATAAACACCGCATTCGTTTAAACAATGCGATGAAATTAATATATAAAAATCATTTTAAACACCTTTAAATGTATTTAAAAGATATATTTTAATCATCATCTATCTCAATTAGGTTCTTAATTGTTTTTTAAAACGAGAAAAGCATTTAAAAAAGTCATCATCCGAGAAGAAATAAGTGATGATAAACACTGTTTCTCCTTAAACACAGCCATATAATTGTTACCTAAAATAATTTTAAACACGAATATTTTTAAAATATATTTAAATTATCATCCATTTTTATTATTTTATTAATTATTCTTAAAACGAAAACGGTGCAAATATTTCCAAAGATAATAAATTATCGTTCTATATTTTATATTTATTAATATTTGAGTAGAAACAAGTGAGAGTAAATAATATTTTTCTATAAATAATACAATAAATTATCATATATATTTATTGTTTTATATTATATTTAATTATTCTTACAACAAATAAGCCTGTTTCAAGATGATAAATCGTCATTGTAAATTCTATATTTATTAACGTGTGAGAAGAAACAAGTGGTTTTACATTGTTTCACCAAGAAAAAAACGAGGATAATAAATATTATTATTATGTTATTATCCTTAAAATTAAAAATAAAAAATTAAATTTATCTAAGATGATAAATCATCATCATTCTTAAACTTTATTCAATTTAATATATGACAAAGGAACAGGTGATTTTTTTACCTTATGTTTTGTTAAGAAACAAGTAAAAATAAACGCTGTTTATCTAAATATACTCAAAATATTTTTAATTATCATTTACCTTCGTCATTTGATTAATTATTCTTTAAATTATAAATAAATAAATAAAAGACACAAATTTATTTCAGGATGATAAATCACTTTTATCCTTATCATCATCATAAATTTTTAAGCTAATTAACACAAATAATTAAAAAAGAATTACATAAATATTCACGAATAATTTGCAAGTTGGAATTAATTTTAGAAATGATCGCATTCAAGTATGCTTCTTCTTCTTCTTCTTCTTCTTCTTTTTTCTAATGTTTATATGATAAATCCAAGCGTGATTAACATGTTTTTAATATTAATTAGTCTATGTTTACGTTAAAACGTGAAAGACGTCACACGAAATGATTTCGAAAACTAATTTACATATTTTAATAATAATATTTAAATAAATTTTTCAACTTATCGAGCATAAAAATGTAAAGTAAAATAAGGAAACTTAGGAGGAAAAATCTGCTGTAATTTTTGAAAAATAATTACTGTTAAAGGAAATTTTTAAGGAATATAAATTCACGGTCACTTATTTTATTTAGAAAGAAACGATTTTTTTAATGTAAACAATAATAAATTACTTACCAGTATTATCTAGTGGTGATTCTTCTGGTGTAATTGGTATCAGTATACCAAGCAATATCCAAAAAAGTAGCAACCTGTCCATTCCACATGCGGCTATAGTTCTGTTATATAAAAAAGAAATATACTGTTATATAGATATATTGGAGGTCATCAGAAAAATTCTTCTATTCACGCCTGACATGACCCTTAACTGGAACATTCATTGTCAAGCTTAATAACTTTTAGAATTTATAAACCGCCATAAAAGATTTGTAAAGAGATATGGGCATGTGATACTTTTCTAGAGACTTTTCTTTTGGATATATTCCAGTTCTTTCATTTATTATATATTTTTCCTCTATTTTTTACTGTACTAAATTCTTAACCCTGCTCTAAACAATCTCCTCTTATTATTATTTACATAGTTTAATCCTTAACTAGATACGTTATCTCGAAGATTATGTGTGATCGTGACTTATATCCCTCTCTGTTAAGTTATTATTAAGCAATTTTTTTAAATTTTTACCAGTAATTTATCAAAAGTTGTACCATTAAAATTGTGTTCAAGTGTATAGAATGACTTATAAAAAAAAATATTATTCTTAGCAAATAACGAGATAAATAAATAATATGAATTTAAATTTAATTAAGATGTTTCGTTCTTAATTATCATTTAATTAAATTTTTAACANGATTAGTTATTGATCTGTTTGTTTACCGAAATAAATTAGCGATCGCTATTAAATTGGATACAGGATTATTTCTTACGTAAATAATTTTATTTATTAAATTAATAAGCAAATTATACTTATAAATATCAAATCTTTACTAGTTTAATAAATTTAGAAAATTAATATCAAATAAAGTAACGTGAAGTTTCTAAGTCAGCATCATGTAACGTCGCCATGATGCTTTCGAACGAGATATACATAGATCTTTTAAATAATTGACTTAGCGATCGTTACAGACAGATATACAAACGTTAAAACTAGGTAAATCGTATTTAGAACAGATTAGACTTTAAATAAACTCGTCAGCTTAGAATTTTCGTTAAAAAAATATTACTTTTTTCACTAATTTTTACGTCACGCGTGCGACTTCTACGAAAAAATTTAAAAATAAATTTTCAAATATTTTAAAATTTTATTCTTAATACGTTTACGAAAATAAATGTTTAAATATTTTTAAAATTTATAATAAATGAAAGATAAATGAAGTAATTAAAAGTAAATTTAACTAATTTTTTTTCTTAAATAAAATTACTAGGGCCTATCTAAATACCGTTGAATTAAACAAGAGCAAACTATACAATAAAATATATCAAGCGGAGATCAAAAAACATTGATGAAACAGGAACTTAACTATGGTATGAAGTATGAAAATTAATATACAACAAAACATGTAATTTAATTGTTATAATGCCAAGTGTGAACCGCTCCGAATCAAGCGTGTTGATGAAAGATTTAATATATATTTTTTTAAATATATACCCCGTATATATATATAATTTTTTTTATAAATAATTAGAATAGTTCAATTTCTATTTTCACTAAGTAGGACGGATGCTTTTAGAAGTACAGCGCCTTCACGTATGTAACTCTGAAGTCTCTCTAGAGAAACCAAAGCTGCAAATCCACAAGAATGTTCATTATGAACGTCTCTCGGCCTAAGAAATGCTTGTTGAGGGCATTTCGTGTTCCTCGGATCGATTACTTTCACTAAATCTCTAGCGGAATTATTCTGATCCACTAGAGTCAGAATTACAGTATGGGTGAAAGGCCACTTCATCATAGCATCGTACTTACCTTTAAATAACGTTAAATACAATCCGACAACGTATTCCTCGCCGTGATTGGTTAACGATTGTATAGAAGGTTCTACAGCATTTAACGCCATGCTTAATCTTAAAGCATAGCCTTGATTGTTTGTATAAAACACTGAGCTTTCTACTTTCGAGATTTCTTGAGATTTTAGTAGAAGTATCTTATCCAACATACGTTCTATCAGCCACGAGTATTCGGCAATCATGTTGCCTTGCTGAATAACGGTGTTAGCAACATTCGTAGACAGTTCTTTTATAAAAACAGTAATGCCTACTTTCATACTTCCGTTTTTCTTGTAACCTCGGATGTTGAGGGTCTCGTGACTGATCATGCGACCTTCTCCACAACTCCATTCTGCTAAATCTTGTTCCGGTTTCTTAAATGCAACGTCGGGACAACCGCTAGAAGAAGTGGAAGGAAAAGTAGTCCTACGGATATGAACTTTTGGCCCCTTTTCGGTTTGATCAGAAACAATTAACTGATATTTATATTTGAAGGGCCATTCTAGGTCTTGGTCGTAGATACCCTTGGTAAGGACCGCGTATAAGCCAACATATCCGAAACTTTTTTCAGGATAAACCCTTAACATCATCCTGTATCCATTGTTGGATAGATAAAATTTCTCACTGTCTATAAATTGGATTTCTCCTCTTTTGGCTTGCACTATTTTACTGTCGATGTCTGGTATGGTCCATATATACTTGGCAACTAAATAATCGTCATCCACTGTTAATGAGGCGAATCGCGGTGGGTGTATCTCTTCGGTATATACAGTTACCTTCACTAACATGGCGCCGTAGCGTATATATTTTCTACTATACAGCATCTCGTAACTGATGGTGCTGGCGGAACCACAGGCATCATTTCTTCCAACCGGTCTCCAAAATGATCCAACGCAAGCCTCATTAGTGATGTAAGGATTACGAGGATCTACAGAAACCAAAATGTCTTTCCCGTTACCAGCAGGTTGTTGATCTATAATCACTAAATCAAACTTTTTAACGAAAGGCCATTCGAGTAGAGTGTCGTATTCACCTTCAAGTAAAGTTAAATAAAGTCCAATAAATCCATTGCTTTGATTCTGAAACTTCAATTGCATTTGCATCAGATATCCCTGATCAGAAGTGTAAAATCTCTCACTAAGTAGATTAATAAGTCTACCAGATTTTGCTAATTGCACCTTCCTTTCAATATTCGGAACTCTCCAGGAATATTCGGAAATTAAATGCGTATCTTTCACCGATATAGATGCAAAATTTGGCATCTTATCCAATATGGTGGTGAATTTTACAAGAAGATTTCCGTTTTTCTTAAAATTTCGATTTTCTAACATTTGAAAATTTATAAGCCTTCGAAATCCACAAGGAAGATTGGGTTGATATTGTGGTTTTGTAAAAGAACTTAAAGAACATATCCCAGACGTAGGATCAACGACTCCCTTTCTATCCAACGTTAAATATCCAGGAGACTGATCGACAATAGATAATTCGAAATTATAAGAAAATGGCCATTCCAAAGTATCATCAAAATCACCAGGAACAAGTGTCGTAAAAAGACCTAAATGTTCGTCTTCCGCATTTATGGTAAGCTGAAGCACCATTAAGTAACTCTCACTGTTAACGTAGAACAAATCACTAGTAACATAACTTAACAACCCATCTCTAGCCTGCTGTACTTTATCGTCGATGTCTTCAATCTCCCAAAGAAATTCGGAAACTAGTTGATGTCCTCTCATATAAGCTTTGGCTCTCTTTGGTATAGTTCCTCTATCTCCTAAAAAGATGGTTACCCTAATAAGAAGCGTGTCATTCACTAAATATCTGTTGTCAGAAGTTAAGAGTTTCGAATGAGGAACAAAAAATTCCTTCCCGCATCCGTCATTATCTTTTTTATTGGTTCGAGGCCTTAAAAACTGTTTAAGCAACCTGCAAATAGCCGTCATGGGATTCATGGACAGATGGATATGTTCGGGATCTCCCCTATTGGATTGGTCCACAAGTGTCAAGTTGAATTTATATTGAAACGGCCATTCGATCACGTCATCGAATTTTCCGGGTATAAGCGCAAACCATACTCCTAAATAGGGTAATTTATCAGCTGGATTGATCTTTCCGGCAGACAAACTTAATCTTACTTTATAACCCGGTTGACCCGTGTAAAATTCAGGACCTTTGATCATATCTTTATGAGTCGATAGAGAAGTGTGAATGAGGCGATGTATGTCTTTAACCTTCCACTCATATTCGGCAACTAAAGTGCGATTATTTTTCTCCTTTAGTCTGGCAAAATCTTCGTCATTATCTGCTATAAATAAATAAATAAAGTTATTTTAGTTTCCTTTTTATATCGGGTGTAAATTTAAGTACAGTACGTCTCTTCTATTATAAACTTTAAATCATAAAGAAAAAAAATGAGAAGTGATCCGTAAAATACAGTTCATGTGAGATAATCTCATAGGAATTATATATATTTTTTATCATTACCAAATTTAATTAAAAAGCAATTTTATTTTCTGATATAAACAAAACATACAAAATTAATTTTTTTTAAATATTAGCTAAATAACGAGTAAAGTAAAGTATAATAAAATTAAATTTATTATATTTAAATCTATTTATATAAAATACTTAATTAATTAATTAATTAGCGTAAATAAGATTAGAGTCGAGAAAGCATCCTATCGAGCAATAACTTTAATTAGAGTAATTAAAGCTACAGCATCAGAGGGATGCTGAAAATTGATCTAGGAAGGTTTAATTTTATTCAAGATGCTTCGACTAATTTTATTATAATATTATATTACAGGTGATTTCTTCCATCTAAAATCAACGAAAATTACTTTTTTGCATCAATAATTATATCTCAATATACTCAGATATCAGCAGACCCTACCATAGAGATGAAACCATTCGTTACCATGCCCCAAAAATATTTCATACGAATTATTTATTCTAGTGTATTTCGTGTGATAAAAAACCTTTATTTAAAAAATATAATACAATTTTTAACGCTGTTTTTTAACATTTGGGAGGCCTCAAAAGATAAGTATCTCGGAATTTCCGATAATCCCAGAGTACCGGCGCTACTTTTAATTATTTAAATTCATTTATCACACAAAACAATCATAAATTTTAATTATAAAAATAGTTTTAGAGTATAAATTCTTTCCTTCTCGTTTATTTTTGCTTCCATTTTGAATTTATTCTTCCGTTTTTTTACTTCCTACTTCTATTTCTAAGTTCAATTTACGCTTTAAAAACATTTCATATCAGAATAATCTTTATTATTTTTTTTTCGTGTAGTATTAGGTCAGATAGAATTAGTTTGACCTACTAGGAAATAATAAATATATATTAATATATATATATTTTTTTCTTCTTTAAATTATTTTCGTTGGTCAACTTAGATTTATAGATAGAGATATCAATTTGTTCTTAAAATAATTATAAGATTGTGTAATCGAATGAGTTATAAGCGAGTTAAATGAAATTTAGGATACAGATATAATTAATGATATACAGAGTGGAAAGTGATACAACTGATCGGTAAATTGATACAATTGAGTTTTGTAAGATGAAATGTAGTAATAATTAATTTTTTGTTGTTATAATGTTCTTGCATTGTGTAAACGATTTGGTAGAATTGCTAGAAGAAATTATGTAAAGTGGAAACAAACGAAAATTAAAATGGTTTCCTTTTTATCTTTAGTAAATGTGATTCCACTTTGCGAAATTCCTAGCGACGCTATCAATTCTTTTATTTCTCATACATGGTTTCACATTCTTTAATTCCCTCTATCTTCCATACGTAGTTCCACTTAACATAATTCTCCTGTATTTACCACGTGGTTCCTTTTACCTTTTATATGTCTCACCTTTTATTATCTTCCATACATGGTTCCATTTTATCTTCCATCTTATACTATTTTTTTCTTCCTTACATGGTTTCACTTTATACGGTGCTCTTTTATCTTCCATATAATACAACTTTACTATGCTATCAAAATCTCTTTCACTATCTTTATGCTAACGATATCTATAGCTTCATGGGGCCCAGGATAATTTAAATTAGGGGATCCCAAGTACTATATAGTGTTGTCTTCAGACATTTTTCTTCGAGAAATTTTTTTGGAGAAACATTTTCTAATAAAAATTTGGTTTTCGACCCCGTTGGTGGGACCCCAGGCAATTGCCCTTTTGCCCACAGGATAGCGCTGTATTGTAACAAAATTGTCTTCGCTATGTTTACACAATGCAAGAACACAATTAACTATTATTCTATTGTATTAATATATTACAAAACTCTAAATAAATTGTATTATTTTCCACTCTGCATCATTAATTACATCCGTATCCTAAATTTCAGTTAAGTCACTTACGACCTATTGAATTATGTAATATTTCTTATAATTATTTTATTTAATTATAATTGACTAAAATAAGCAAAAATTAATTTAATTAAATCCAGCCAAATTAAATTTTATGTAAATTTTTATTTAATTATAATTAGACGAAATTTACGTAGAATAATAATTCAATTATTTTCATCTTTATTTTTATCGAATTCAAAATTAATGACAAGAATTCGAACTGGGAGAAGGTTTTAATGCCTTTAATTAAAATAAATTCCACAAATTTACTTAACCGAAGAAACGAAAATGTATTCGATAATTCAACTTAATGTAGGATTATAGGATAAGAAGAACAATGAAACTTCCTTCCTGCCTACTTTCGACCAAATAATTGACAGTGTAACAAATATCATAGTTGAAGTCTAAACGAATTTATTGTACTTTTTTGTCTCATTATTTTATAATAAAAAGTAGATAATGTCAAATTTCAATAAGAATTTCTTTGTCTCTAACGAAAAATCTATGTGTCAGATATAAAGAAATGATTATCTAAACAAATGTCTTCTTGACATTTGTCAATGAGCAGAAAATCTGAAAGAAACAAACAATTTTCTTGTCCCATTTCTATTTTTTAACAATGAGTTTACAGAGAGTTTTTTTTAATATATTAATTATTAATTCTTTCTTGAGGTTTTAAAATCTCGAAAATTGTATTTTAAACTCTGATAAATGTGTATATTTGGCATAGAAAATAATGGATTCGTTCCATTCGTCAGTCTGTTATCAATCCACTGAAGAGTGAATTGAAAGTATTCAGTTTGTTTTCACTTTTCTGTCGATCTGTCTGTTCGTAAAAATTCACAAAAACTAAGATATTGATAAGATAAGTGAATAGTTATACCCATAATCATATCCTTTAGTATCAAATTTCACATTAACAAATGAAAATTTTTACACGTTTACTGCTCTCTAATTTAATTTTTCTATACATTAAGAAAGAGGTTTTGTATTCGCTTTATCCGTCTGTTTGTCAGCCTGTCGCCTAATATTTTCTATATTAATTTTATTGTCGTCACACTATCCTTAAAATTTGCAAAAAAAAATAGTAATAACGATAAATGTGTAATATTTAATTTAAATTAAAATTCCTCACGTTCATTGCTATCTAACTTGAGTTTTCTGTATATAGAATTGTATAAATATGTATATAGATTTTTTTCTAACAGTATTTAGAGCTACACGCTGATTCTAGACACGTGTTTGTATGCATTTCTTATCAAAAGTATTGAAAGTTAAATACAAGAAAATCTAGAAAACCGATGAGAGGTGATAAAAATCTAAAAATTCCAGTTAAGTTCTTTGTAAAAAAAATATTCAAAGAATTATTTTACAATTAATTTTTTTTATTTTATTTTATGAGAACGAGTATTATTGAAAATCACATCACGAAACATTTTAATATGCATATCAGAGGAAGAGGAGGAGGAGAAGGAGGAGGAAGAAAAAAACTATTTCTTGGTATCAATTCCTGTTTAAGGCTCAGCCCAATTTTCTTACGTAGCTTATCGAACCCAAAAATGTCCTATTCTGTGATTGGCTGTACTGACTTATAACTAATTCCTCTTTTTTTTTTAAACTTTAATTGGGTTCGTTAGACTTTATGAATCGCGTACAATGATTATGAAAACAGGTTAAAAATTTCAATTTTTTTTTTCGTTTAATTTTATTATTATCGTGAAGAATGTTGTATTTTTTTGTAATTTTCATAATAATCTAATATATTTTCTATAATAAAGTGATAATTAGGTAATTTTAAAACCAGGGCACAAGGTTGAAAAAAAAGCGAAAGTTCCGAAAGATTAATTCGCAGTTATTGTTGGAAAAAAATGGGGTTTTTTAGGAATTTAAATAGTTATATTTTAAGTAAAATTGTGTTTCAGGATCTACATTAGGTCGTAAAGTATCTAATAAACCTTTTACAGTATAAATTACTCTGTAAAAAAAGTTTGTAAAATGATGAAATTCCTTCGACGTTTGCCTGGTTTTAAATGTTAATATTCAGCATTCTACGCGGAATAATTTAATATTTTTTTACAGTACATATTCAGTGACATCTTGTCGTGAATAATATACATCTTCTAGAATTTATATAAAGATTTTATACAGCCCGAGGGCCACATATAACCCACATACTTTCTTACTAGTCCATCGAAGGACAAATCTAGGTTGTTGATGGTACAATAAATGAAAATTGACCAGTTGACTTTCCCTTTCCTTATTGATGCATAGCAAGGTCAATGGAGAGAAGGAGGATCTCCGTTTCACTATATATTTATTGTTATCTTCTAGATTTATCTACGAGGATGGCACTCTCGAATATTTTACTACTTTAAAATAGAGCAAACATTTGAATTGTGCTGATCAAAAACAAGAAGATTATTTAGTTACGCCTTTTAAAGTTCTTATAATCGATTAAACTTTTGATCTTGTTTATTTTTTATTTTTTACATTTTTCATTGCCTTATTCAGATTTACATGCCCTCGATTTGCTTTAAAATTAATTGACTTTTCTAGTTCTAACCCTCTAGCTATATAAACTGATTGGTAAATTTTAAAGCAATTCTTTTATAAATTTATGTAACTTTTACGTATAAAATTGCATTAAAAATAAAATAATTTAAGAAAAATATTCGAATTATTTATTCTTGAATAAATATTTTTACTATTTATTATTATTATTATTATTATTATTATTATTAATGTTATTATTATTATTATTGATGTAATTTTAAAGCACTAAACCACTCCTCATTACGAAGTTATTTTCTAAATTGAAGCAATTTTTATGCACAAATTTCATTAAATATTATATAATTGAAGAAAAATATCTTTATAATTTATTTTTTTATTGTATTTTACAATATTTCTTTTGTAATTTTTAATCATTTTAAAGCGATAAATAAGTGTGAAAACTGAGTTTAAACCTACGTGACTCACCATGAATCAAGCTTAAATTGTAACTAATGAGTTTATTTTGTTCATAGACAAGAATATATAAAATGTCAGTCACACCCAATTGCGTCATAAAAACGGTTACAATCTTAAAAAATCACGAATTTCTTATTTACCTTTTAAAGTGGTCACAAACAACATTAATTCCTCACTCGCCTATGCAACTTAACCCACACTCGATAATGTCATGAATATAAGAAGATAAACATGTACTAAAAATTTAATTATTTTTGTGCACTTAGCTTAAAAAAATTTACATATTCTTCAAGAAAAACAAGTACCATTTGCTCTGATTATTATATTATACACAAGCAAGCTATGTATATATATATAGGTCTACTGAAGTGTTGCAATACTCGATAAGTACAGTACATCTGAATTTAGAAGTTTTATAATATAAAATTACACTTCTATAATTGTGTTAAGTGACACTTAGACTTTAATTACGGCACTTTTTATGTAATAATCATTTATAAAATTGCTCCTTGCCAATCTGTAAAGGGGGTGTGTAATGCTAAGAATTCGTAACTTAGTGGGATAAGTATAAGTATGTTTATATTATTCTTCGATTATTATCCATTCAGAAATGCATAAGACCTAAATCTGACAATAATATAAACGAGTTAAACAAGATAAAAATCTTCAATTGTCCATCTTCTTCCGTTATGCAAGCGTATAATCTTATAAACGTATCGAGTGTTGGAATCAAGATTCTTTCATACAAAAGCACGAATTTCTTAGATATAAATTCTTATAAAATATTTAAAATTTATGATTCTAACCCCCCAACAAGATATCTAGATATGTAAATTATATATTGGTGTAATTGTAAGAAAGATCAGATTGATCTCTCTTCCTTAGATTTTCTGGTTTTAAAGGTCGTTACACCAACATTTGCATACATCAAATCGTTATAGATTGCAAAAATCCATACATTTATTTGTTCTTTTTGCATATATTACGCGGAAAATTATAATAAATTAGTTTTAAAAACCCCAAAAAAGTCGTCTTTAGTAGGTTTTTTACCACTTTTCTTCAGCTTAGACACGCATCTTTATAAGTAAAGATGCGTGTCTAAGCTGAAGAAAATTTAAGTTTTTAAGTTATTTAAACAAAAATTATTATAATTAAAATAATTAACTGAAAAAGAATGCGAGTAACTTACCTATCTTTCACTGATAATCCAAATAATTAGCATTCGCTCCAATGCCATGTTCTGCCCACTTGATCGTGAAGCAATTGAAAGATAAATGGGAGAAAGTCCATCATATTAAAATACTGAGCATGCGTAACGAGAGTGAAAATCCTGTCACGGATGACCTCGATCCGTACCTTCCCGGAGGACCAGAAAGGGCAAAACTTAGGGCAGGGATGAGAGAAGAGAATTAGGACGAAACACGGGTTAGCGAACTTCGACGGAAGTTATACATAGACTTAACATGCCCATCCGATTCAGAACTCGAGGTGGACAACCAGTCTTCATCAATGTTCTTATAGTAGTAGCTGTAGTAGGCCCGTGTCTAGTGTGACGCAACCTTTAACCACGCCTTTAGCACGCGATTTTTTCCGGATAACCGGATCTCGGGTAATACCAAGTAAACGAATAA